ATTTTGGTTCGAAAATAATTTTTAAGGGGGTTGCCGCCTATTTTGAAAGTGGTATTTCGTTTAATTATACATAAGTTACATGAAATTTTAAAATATGGCTATCAAAAGAACGAGTGTTAAGAAATCTTTAAGTTGAACAATTGGTTTTGTTTTTGTTGAAAAAATTAAGCTCAAATTATTTAATAAGTTAAATGGATTGTCAAAAGATGTGTATCAATCGAAATGGGTTTGAAAGTGATTTATTTCTAAACTGTATTTAGGAGAGTTGCCATGTGCCTAAACAAATTAAATTGAACTTAATTCATCAGTTAATTGAAATATGTATAACAATGTCAGGCGGAAAATTTTAGTTGGAAAATACTTTTAAAGGGGTTGCCACCTGTTTGAAAAGTCGAATTTGTTTTACTTATACGAAAGATACATAAATGAAATATCGAAATATTAGTGTCAAACGAAAGAGTTTTAAGAAAATTATAGGCTGATAATATTTTTAATTAGAGTTGCCATAAATTTTTTTTTTAAGTAATCACATTTGCACCGTTATTTCGAATTTTCAAAATGAGAAGTAAAATTAAATAACTGGCATTCTACATAGATGTGCACAGGTTTTGTTTTTTGAAGTTATAGGGAGATTTGAAATTTAATAAAATGAAAACCGACACCATGCGAAACCTCTCATCACTGAGAAATGGTTTAGATTAATCATCAGGAATATTTTTAGAAGTTTTTGAATAGGGACCTGTTTAAAAAATGTAATTAAATGGTGGCGTTTTGACGCCATGCGGGTTCACTAGTATGTATATATTCTGCCTTATCCTGAGTTTGGCCTTAAAAAAAATTAAAATTCACGCGAAAAGTTGTCATCCGGCCATAATAAAACCATGGAGACGAAAAGTGAAAAATGAACTTCGTGGAGTAGGCCTGTCAAATTTGGACAATATCAAAGCCGGAGATTGATCCCATTTCTTGTAAGCTCACTACAGGCGTATTTTTTAAGCCGGCCGTATCGGATTTGCCATTTTGAATTTTAGGAATCTAACTTCAAATTCGTGATAAGTGAGCCCAAATATCATAGAGTAACAAGTTTCAAGCCGATCCGATCACGATTGCCCGCCATATTGGATCCGCCGTTGCTATTTTTTTTAATCTAACTTCAGATTCGTCATCACCGACCCCAGAAGCCCGCCCCATGTAGCAAGTTTAAAGCCATTCCGATAAGATTTCGAGTATTGGCCACTTTTTATCGTTCGCTGGCTCATAGTGCGATGGAAAGGCACGCTTATAAGTCAGGTTTTCTACCCTGTATTGCGATTCGAAAGGCGGCACGGACTAATACAAATTCATAGGGCCAAGTATTCGAATCCGACCGAGATTTTTGCTTAGTTTATCTCTGAACTATATATAGGGTTGCCAACCGTACTATATATATATAGAATTCTACTTTTTTCGGCCGGCGTACTATACACCGTTGGAAAAAATATAGTGTGCAAAAATACTTCAAAAAAAAAAGTGTATTGAAATGGATGGCGTTTATACTTCTTATAGCCATTTTCTTCAAGTCTTTCGCAAAACTTTGAATACAACATTTTGCCTGTTTAGTTAAAGCAAAGCAAAACTTCATACGAATCAGAGGGTCTCGATCTTTACTAGAAGATTTCGAACTATTTTGACCTTATCTAATTTTCGGAGCTTTTTTGGACTTTGCAAATTTTTCTTTAATTGAATATAAACGTGAAAACATAAAACAAGGACCCTTACCCTTTTCGAAACGAAGCATTTTTAATTTATGTATCAAGCCCCCTGTATAAAAATATGATTTTTCATTAAAAGTGAAGTTAGCAACTTTTCACTCTAAATAACCTAGCGATATGTGAGTTTTACAATCAGTTTATCTTATCTGATGGTATATCTAAATGCTTTCAGATATTGAATTTTTACTCATATTCATAAAAGTTAGGACTCAATGGGAATCCCGGGATTAGTTAAAAAATATCCCGCAATCCCGGGATCAAAATTTTCCTCATATCTTGGCATCCCTAGTAAATATGTATGCAGCAAGCACAGGATAAGTATAAAAGAGTACTCGGAATCGGAGCGGCAACCAACTCTGGCTAGCGCAAGGCGTCATGCTTCATTTGAACTATGTTGCTACGAATATGCATGCAACGCATTAATGTACATGCACTCTAAAAAATTTTTGTTTAAATTTGCGCATATTAAGATAGGTAACCAGTTTCCTCTCTTAATGAATGCAAATTTAAACACTGCTTGCTTACTTTTACTTATCATATGTGTGGCGTAGAACAAATTTCAAATTTGTTTTTTGAGTTTTAAACATTTATTGTTCACATTTTCACAGTTTACACATAAAATGTTTAAAATTTCCTCTAAAAAATTTTCGTTTAAATTTACGCATATAAAGAGAGGTAACCAGTTTCCTCTCCTAGAGTGTGCAAAATTAAACAATGTCTGTTTACTTTTACATATCAAATTTGTCACGTAGCGCACACAAGGGGTGGGTTTTGGGGCTAAATTTATTATGATATAAGAAATTTTGAAAGAAAAAATTTTCTTTTCCATTTCTTGTGCGTCATTTTGTAAGAACCTTTCTTTTTTCTTGAGAGCTCTTTAAAGTTTAACTGCGAATGAAAGCATTGTCCTAAAAATATGCAATGCATACTCACTTACTGGTGGTTTTTACACTTTACAGGCTAAAAAAGTTTACCACTGATATGTACTTAATAAGCATTCGAAGATTTAATTTGCTAACTTCGAATTCGTTCCACCAAAATGAGCTACATGATAAAAATACAAGTTCAGTTAAATTTTCGTTATTCGAATTATTAAAAAATGAGAAACCAGAAATCGACGAAAATTAATAAAAAAGTGTAAAAATTTCGTGAAATTATTTAATTTATTTATATTAAAATTCTTTTGTAAAATTTTGTATTACTTTTGAAAGTTGAGTGCATCTTTAACCGTTAATTTTTTCATGATTTAATGATCGGATCTAAACCAAATTACGAGACGACCCTTAAGGTACCATCTTTCCGGTAAAAAAAATAATTATTGGAATCGGTTCACGCGGTGCAAAGTTATGCGGTGGAATAAATAAAAGAAGTAAAAATACTCCGAAGAATTGATAACCTCCCCTTTTTTGAAGCCGGTTTTAAATAGTCTGAGTTCTTTGTAAATTTTATGTAAATAAAATGCAATTGATGATACTTTAAAAAGTATATTTATTTATTTCATACTGTAAATAAAACTTTCATAAATGTATTTTAAAGAGCGAATTTTCAGTATTTGCTGATGATATATATTTAGAAGTATAAACCCTTTCCCTCCAAAAATATATTCCTGCGTGCGCCCCTGGCACTTAGTATTTATTATTTGTAAAAAATATATTTTTACTTTCAAAATTTTTGTAATTTTAAACATTTCATATGTATATTTTAAACAACTCATGTTCAAAACCAAATCTTGAACATTTTGTGCGTATACTTGAACAGATTCTGGTTGAAAAATAAACACTTTTCAGTAGTAGTTTTACATGCACTTTTTAGAGTGTGCATGTACATACGTTCATACTTACATACATATGTATGTACATTAAGGAGGTAAACTTTTTGAAATTATGGAAATTGAAAAAAAACGTATTTTTTATTTTAAAAACAGTTAATATTTCATGGTGCAGCATCGGCTTATTTAAAATTCCTACGTACATGGGGAAAACCATTTTTTTGTAGAATTATTATTGGTCGAATATTTTCCTTAAGAAATATTCAATATTGATTGCGTGATGTGGTTACGAACACATAAAATAAATAATTCTTTTATATGGCTCATTGCCCGGTGACGGGTGTGACTAATATATCTTTATGATAAGTTTTATCATCGATGCTCACAAACAGATATATGATACATTTCAGATTAGCAGATAAGTAATCGTAGCAGTGCCTGCCCGAGTTTATTAAAAATTGTCAAACTTTGAACTTTGACAGGCGTGACAATTCGCACACGTTCACCTGTGTCATAGAGTTACTTTTGTTAGCTTTTTACACATAACAAGATGTGCTTTCGTTCAAAAAATAACTTTTGTGTGTATTTTGTGACAGACGTGACATTAAAATATGCTTTTTTTCAATATTTAGTAAAATATTCAATACTTGGTGGAAAAACTTGAAAATTACTCTACTACAATTCTGAAGTATTGTACTCTCTATTTATCGTTTAAATATTGCTAAAAAGACAGTAGACTACGAAAATCAATCTTGTAAATTTGATAGAAAATTAATCTATCATATAAGTTTGTAAATGGCACAACCGAAAGTAAAAATAAAATTCTGATTTTAAGATAAATTTTGAAATTTCTGCTTTCAGTCTTAAAAGTTGGAGTTATTTACTCTTAATTTCTAGAAATAATATTCTCAAATTCTTAAGTTTGATTTCATTTCATTTGGTATCCACTATCGTGGAATGAGCCATATGCAAGATTAATGGTTGTGAAAAAATATATGGAGTCCTAACGCAAAAAAAACTACTGCACATTTTTTTTTTAACTTTCTTTTTGATGAAGAAATGCATTTAGATGCGCTAGGATAATTTCTGCATAAAAAGAACTTTGGAACTTCTACTATTTTTGACAAAAAAAAATGGATCACCCTGATGGATGTACCTACATAAATATCAATTGTGCAGCCAATAGTGCAACGGTTGCAGTTGTTTTTTTTATTATTCCCGTTATTACGGTGCCGTAGTATAACGCCAGACAAAAGTTTCACCCACAACAAAGCAAGGCGCGTACCAATCACCGGCATTGGTTAGATTTTTCCCCCTCCCACTGCTGTGGTAGACAAGGAATGAATGAATAAATAGTTGTTTCGCTATTGATTTTTTGCGATTGTAAGCTCCTATTTGCTTTTGCTGACAATCACTTTTGTTTTCATTGACAGCGACAGTGTTTTGCCGACAAATTTATTGCCTTTTATTTGACTACTTACCCTTCCTCCCGTCCATATTGCATCCCTCTCGACGACTCGCTTCACTTTCTATTTTAATACTTCGAAGCGATTGCAGCAGTTGCCGCAATACTCCCAGACACGGTGGAGATAAGTGCAATACATCAAATACAATAACATCAATCGTGTCTGGAGCTATGTAAGCTATCTTGTAGATACATACATATGCACATATATACATATTTCTATATGCATATATGTATGTATGTGTACTGCATCAATGCGGCATGCGGCGAATTGTAGCAACATGCAATGCATTTTCGCTAATGTTTTGTTTCTGCTGTTAACGATTAAACGATTGTGACCTCCAACAATGTGGGAGGTGGTGAACATCTGCGGATAAAGCAACAAAAAAGATTGCTCTAACAATTATGAAGATTGGGCTATTTAAAATAACGCAAGACCTAACAACCAGTACAATTCACTCATGGGGAGATCATATTCCATTCATTCATGCAGAGTGCGAGGACAAAGGCTTACATCAAGAGATACATGTCTATTTACTAAGCTGATTGACTCGGTTTTTTCAAACGAGTTTCAGACAGCTTTTTCCAAAATTTTTGGGCGATTTTTTGAAATCGGAGTTTTTGAATAACGAATAAACTGGAGTTTTGTTATCATATAAACCAAGTTTTTAATCAAGAATATTTATACAACAGCATCTTAAAATTCACTGTAAATTCATTTTATTTTTTATTGTGTTGAAACAAGAAGCACAACTTTTTAACCAATCTTGCTCTTAAATATTTACAATCAAGTTCCCTTCGAAGATTTTTTTGGTATACATATGTAAACAAATAGCATGATTTTTTTAAACAGTTTCGTTCAAGGCACATTAAACAGGTAGTATCAGTAGAGCAAAAACAACATTTGCGTGTATTTTGTTGTTGCTTCTGGTATCGAAAGTTTCAAAAACTGTTCTGAATTTGTTCTTCTAAATNTAGAAATTTTTGAACAGAAAAAGTATTTTTTAAACAAACTTAAACATAAGTTGATGCGACGAAAAAATCTCCAAAAATAAACCTGTTAAAAGTAAACAAAAGGTGGTTTGGCACAAATCATATGTGTTTTAGTTAACAAAAAAAAAGATATGGAGATAAGCAAAAATGCAGCTATATGAGCAAATCTCACGAGGTGTTACATTTTTCGACAAGAACGTGTTTTTGATCGAAAATGGAGGCACACTTATCTTAGAAATTGCATTATGATGAAAATTTGAAAAAGATATACTAAACAAGTAAGAAAGTCCAAGTTCGGGCGGAGCAGAACATTAAATACCCGGCACAAGTATTAAATATATGTTTTCACCTTTCCGAAAATTACCGCTACATGGTAAGTAGGGGTGATTTTACCCCTATTTTAAACATCTCCGATAGAACTTTCAGTTATACATAATGATATAAAATTATATAGTCATATGTGTCATATATATTTTCCTAAATTCCAAATAATGTTACTTCTTTTCAAGGGATTGTTGTTAGTATCAATTTTGAGTAAATTAGGGTCCTTAAATTTTGAAATATCGAAGTTTCAAGCATTTCTGAAATTTACCGTTATATGAAAAGTGGCCGTAATTTTGGTTCGATTTCAATAATTTTCAACGTCTTGCTTTTATGTGGCAAGCACAATAACCATACCGAGTTTGGTACAAATTGGTAGAAGGGTTACCAAGATATATATTTGTGATCACAAGTGGGCGGTGCCGCGCCCATTTTCCAAAATTTTATCATAAACGTATTTTTTGGAATTTTCGCAAGCATCAATTTTTAATAAATTAGCCTTTGTATTTACTGAATTATCGAAGATTTCGTATTTCCCTAAATTACCGTTATATGGGATGTGAGCGTGGTATGCTATACCGAGTTTGTCCAGTTTCAATAACATCCGTCCTACGCCCGAAAGAAGTACACATACAAGTTTCGTTAAAATATCTAAATTTTTACTGGGGTTATCATGTGCACAGACGGACGAACAGACAGTCACCGCTTAATCGATGTCTCTATTCGTACTGATCATTTACATATGTATACATTTGTCTATATCTATATCTATCTCGATTCGTTTTGGCTGTTACAAACAACCGTTATGTGAACAAAGTTATAATACCCTTTTGCACAAGTGCGCTCGGGTACAAAAAATTAAAAATAGAAACTCGTGCTCATATACCCGTAGTTGCGTGTGTAACGTATACGCCACGTAGCACCATACGCAGTCATCTCGCACGCCTTAAACTAAAATTCATATTATTTAAAAGAGATTAAATATTGGCATTTAAGATTTTTGCACAGTATTCCTTAGCACATATGTATATACATATTTCTATCTTCATGTATGTAACGATTTTAGACTGAATTTCGATGGACTTTGCCAAAGTGCGAAAATAGGTTTCTTTTACTCAGCATTTTGCTGTAGTGTCGTAAGGAAGTGCTTAAATTTTGTATAAAAGCAAGCTATAAGAGGTTGTTGGTATAAGGAACACCACCAGGAAAAAAACAAAAAAAAATCAAGTTACTGATGAAGAAAATCCATGGATAGATACCAAATAATGAGTGGTCAAATAAAAATGCACAACATTATTTGTATGAAATATGAGCAGAAAAGCGTGTTACTTAGGTGTACGCGGCGTATGAGTAACATTCTTTCGTGCTCAATTTTCATACAAATAATTTTGTGCATTTTTATTTGACCACTCATTTTGTATCTATCCATGGATTTTCTTCATCAGTAACTTGATTTATTTTTTGTTTTTTTTTTTTTTTTTAACAGAACAGGCTTTTGTACAAATGCAAAAATTTGGCACAGAACCTGTTATTTTTTTAATTTTTCTTCTGTTAGAGTTTGATTTTTTTTCATTATTTCATTAAAAAATAAGAAAATCTGGAATAATTAATTAATTTGTCAGAAACTATATGCCCTATTTTATAAGTGATGTATACACGGTTTATGGAGAATTTCATTGGCTTTCATTTGCCGTATTTTATATTACGATCTTTAAATTGGTTCGTAAGATATACGAGATTAAAAGGAACAAATTTTTGCTTTAAGCTGAATAACGGTAAATTGTAAATATCTCGAAAACGTATCCATAGAACAAAAATTAACCCGAATTTCGGAATCACCGAGCAATTCTACATAGAAATTGGTTAGTGGCGTCTGGAGAACAAAAACCAAATTAAAATTTGTGATCCAGTGTTATTAAATAAAAAAAAACAAATATAGTCAATACTGGTCAAGAAAAGTAGTTTCGATTTTTTCCATTAGTGCAAATTACAAATTCCGAAAATCCCGGGATTCTTGGCAAATATCGGCACCTAAAAAAGGCCGGGATCCCGGGATTAACATTCCTAGTTTTGAGGCTATAATTGTTCAAGTACTTGATTTATTTTTTATTGTACTTATTTCTGGAACTGCATTGATTGACATTAATGCAACAAAAATGCTCTAGCGTTTTCTTTTGCTGCCGAGAAAAAGGAGTGACACTAAAAACAAAAACAGCTCCTGAGATTTGCTCATTATATATTTATATGCACATGGAAGATAATACGATTTTTAGACTAAATTTATTAGAAATGCTTTTATATGAAAGTATCTGCAGATTTACCATAATAGTTTTTTCTTAACTACGACTTTTATTTTTGTTTAAATATGGTATATGTACATACATGTAGTGCTGTTAAATTTAAATTTTCAAACAAATTGAACACTGTCTAGTCAAACAAAGCTCTGTTAAAAAGTTAAGCAAGTGCTGCTCAAAGTAATTTTTTGAAAAAAAAAACACACACATTTTGAGGCACTGTAGCGAAAAGGTACATGGGAATTTGATGGTCTTGCTCTTAGCGTTTTTTTAGCTGTAAACTAATGCAATTATTTTTCACTAGTTTGACTATGCTCCTTTCCATTTTTATACACAATAGAATAAGCAAGTCTCGTACATTACGAAGCCTCGGACTACCAGGTTATGCAGCTTAGGCTTTGCAATGCACATCGTCAGTTTGTGATATCATCCATATCGGGCGTTCACTTTCAAACTCAACGAAACGTGTCGAAAAAGCAAAAAAAAAAGTAGACTGCATTTATTTCTGTTGTTGTATTAAATCGTAGTGATTGCATGCAATAGTCGCATTCATATTTTGTAATAACTTTTTTGTAAAGCATTCATTAATTTGCTAAATGTTATACACAGGTACGTTAAAGGTATGCCTATGGACGTTACAGATCGTACAGATTTTCTAAAATACCCAAAAATTTTAAACTTTTTATTCAGAGATTTTGTAAAAAAAATTTAAGATACTCATTTTAATAGCCAATTTTAGCGATGCGCACGTAAAAAATAATTCGCAGTTTTTTTCCGATGCAATGCCTTAAAAAATACATCGATGGTCGATGCACAATGCATTCCCCTTAATTTCGAAAAAAACTAAATTAAATTAGGGAAAAATCTTTTTAATAGGGTTCGGTGTACTAATTTTATATTTATTTTTTAAATATCTCAATATTTTTGGTTTAAGCTTTGTAAAAATAAAATTTTGTTAACTCGTTTAGCCTATAGTCTACTCCGATGCTGTATCAAAACAAACGGAGACTTTAAAAAAAGCCTTCCAGAAGGTACGGAAGTAACTCCAATTGTCGAGTACATATTTGTACTACTACAGGATTTTCATTAAGCTGATGCCAGATAAAACGCTTGCTTCGCTTTGACAGATAAGATGAATTTTGCGAAAATTCACAAAGCATGCCACATACATAGATCGTTGCTGGTCGTAGATGGCTAACTCCCATCTTTTTGCGTGCGTTGACAATCAGCCGGTTTAATATTTATTTTGTTTCGTCTAAATTTGATTTTTCATGCAGAAACATAAAATTTAATTACATTGCAGATATTTTTAAAGACATATATATAAAATCCATAGCAAGTTTGACGAGTACAAAATATCGCAAAGAAGTACATTTGACTGTACTTCGAAGCACGAAGTACAAGAGCGAAAAAAGAAGTACCGTATATCCGAAAGAAGTACGGTTGGTCACATTATATATTTTGCAAGTTCTGGTGATACAACG